AATTTCAAATAATTTGGACTGACCTCTGAGATTTAAATGTTACTCATCAACCACGTAGGTTTTTCTAAACAAAAAGGATGCGTTTTCATACACTAATTTTGGGCTGCATTTTCAAAACTGAAATTTATGCTGATGTTGTTAAAACCAGAAAATCAAAACTAGTTCTATGTGAAAAATAGAGACATAGAGACATAGAAACAGATGAAAACTTCCAGAGGTGTATGAACACTTGCAACTATCAAATAACCATCAGGGAGACTATAAATTAAATTCCAAAGTCAATGACTTTAACAGTGTATCAGTCGATGTTGCCAGAAGTTCATGTGTCCACAGTGTCCTTAGTCTGGATTAATTTCCTTACTGCTTCTATTAAGATCATTGCAGCTTTCTTCCTTTCTGCTAAATTCATAAATGCACGAAAATGCAAGAACGTCTATAAATCTACCCATGTGCTTTAGCAGTAGCTCTATGCTGTATACTGTATGTCACCTCCTGTAGTTACAGTCGTAATTCAACTTGAACTCTTATTGTTGGGGTTTTGTACAAAGGTAATGATGGCCCTAAAACAGCACATAAGCACCTGAAGTCCTGCAGAAACCACTAAAAGATCATCCATTGAAGCACAGCAAATATGGAGAAGATACCTTTTTGTATTTACAAGAGGCGTTCTGGTCCAAGCAGTTTAACTTTTTTATTGATGAGAACCTCAATTCAGGACTTTGTCTAACTCTTCATTTATGTGATGTGGAGAAGAAATGGATTGAAGTTGTATGTGGCCCAGTGGAGGGAACCACAGCCTGTGGTGAGGACGAGGCCGACAGGACCCCCCTCTCTTCACGAGGAATGAGCCAGGGAGCCGCTGAGAGGGTGAAGATGGGGGGAGGGAGAGAGTGCAAGAAAGGAGTGCAAATTGGGGGAGGATTTATGGAAGAGATATTATTGTGTTGGAAAGCAGAGGGGGGGAGTAGATTGCTAATTTGGGCTTCTCCCGAACTTCTGTTTAAAATCATTATCTTGTGTGGCCTGTACCAGGACCCAACCACTTTAATGTGCCAAATAAAATTCTGAAAACCTTCAAGACAGCCATTAAATTAGATTCTAGTCAAATACCTTAAATGACGTCTATAATTACTTTGTGGTGCTTTCAAGCAAATTAACATGAGAACAGTCACAGTATGCGGATACAAACTGGAATACAGAACTTTGTTAGGATAGTGATTTTGATCCATTATATGCAGCAAAACTATGAATCCCTATCTTGGATGGTGGTACTGTTTTGGTATATCTAGCAACAGAGAAAAATGAGCAGAAATCAGAAATGGAATTAGCATTTTGTCCGTTTAAATAAAGTATTAAAAGAAAGCTTATTTGAAGCTGCAATGTGCAGTACATTATTTTTTCAATAAACAATCTTAAGATAAATACTGTAAGGATAAATATGTTTATAGGCACAATGTTTGCTTGCAGATTTTGTTAATATTAGTATAAAATCATAATCGTGTTCAAAATTATCATCATATGCTTGATGAAAGGATCAAGAATGTTCAAATTTATTTTTCTAGTTTAATTATTTCTGAGAGGGGATTGAGAGGTAAAACTAAACCAAATTACAACATTAGGTACAGTAGTAGTAGCTAGGCTTCTGAACTCATAACCAGAAAGCTGATGATTCAAATTTGTTGTACTCTCGAGCAAAGCACTTCATTTGGATTGCCACAGTAGAATTGTCTGTTGTATAAATGGGTAAAAATCGAAATCACTTTGGAAAAAAGCACACACCAATTCACTTAATAATAATTGCAGAAAAGCTTTGATTTGATTTTACTGGGTGGGATTTTTTGGAATGTCTGGTGTGCTGGACATGTCCATTCAGCTGCTGTATATGCAGAATCTTTTCTATACTGTCTTTTCAAAGAATTATTAAGGAAACATGATAAACATTGTAATAGAAGCTCTCTACAATGAAAACCTGGTATTATGTTTTTAAAAATAACTCATTATCCAATTTTAAAAACATGTCTGTTTTGACTGATGCGACGTAAATAAGTATATCACGCAAAATACAACATAGCTCATAGTCCATTTGACAAAATACAGACATCCCCTAACACCAGCATTGAACAGTCTGATGGTAATGTGAAAAAAATAATAATTTGTAATAGATGTCCATTCAGAAATCAATTAATTAGCATGTTCACTGATGCTTAGAACTGCAGTGTCCAAAGTCGTTCCCACAAGAGGGGCACAAAGACACTAGGCTCTAATTTCTTAACCTGCAACATCTGGTAATTACACTAGCTCAGTCTCGAAGCCTCCATTATTGAACAGAACAGATAGTGACCTTCTTCGGGAATGAGATCTGGCATCTCAGGCTGACTTTTCTTCTGTACTGTAATTTAAAACCTCCTCAAAACAAAATATTTTTATTAAAGTAGAAAACTAGTGTCCTTGAGAGAGTGCTCAACTATCCAAGTCTGCAGTTTTTGGCTGGAGTGTTGAAACGATACCCTGGATGCATATTTGCGAAAAGTAAAATTAATCTTCATTTATTGCAAGGTCATTTACATAAATCACACTTTTATTGGTACCCTTGAACAGTATGATATCAAATATTTAAAGCTACAGTGGTAGATCTTTCATTTGATCTTTTTAAAAGAACATTTTGACTCAAGGATTAAATCCAATAAAACTTGTGATTATCAAAGATCCAAAACATTTTCTAACCCCTTCTTCCAATTCAGAGCCGCGGGGGAGCCAGAGCCTATCCCAGCAAGTATCAGGAGTAGGGCAGGACACACCATGGGTGGGTAGACAGACACAAATACACACTCACACCAGGGACAATTTTCCCAGAAGCCAATACCAGTATGTCTTTGGATTGTGGGAGGAAACCCACATGAACACTGGGAGAACATACGAACTCCAAACAGAACTCCCAGAAACACCCAGAGCCCCAACGCTTCTTTTGACTTTGGCCTACAGTATATGCACTATATAATTAGAATTCTGGGGTATTATTTAAAGGGATATCTTTGAGAGGAAATTGGTACAAACGTTTTATTCACTGCAGTACTAAACCCAAACAATTATTATGTGTTTAGAAGTCATACTGTTTAAAAAAAATGATTGCTGATACAATATACATTGACTAGGCACTATTGCAGTTATCTACTGTGCAATTCACGGCCTATGAAAGATTATGAAAAAATATAACAGTGAGTAGTCATTAATATAAGGGAAAGTTCTGGCATGATGTGTTATTACAGTGCCCTCTGCTGGTTTGGGGCGGTGGTGCACAAAACAACTGGAAATGTACGTCAGGCCAAATAGTCATATTTGGATCGCTCAAACTGTATTTTAAAATATCTCTAATATTTAGTGATATATCAGAATAATTCCTATTTAATTTCAGAATCGTTAAGCTTCCCAGTCATCATGTTTAAGCCAATGAACTGGCTTCTTTCAAGAAACAGTTGTAAGAGATCCTTGGATCAAGTAGCTACTGTACGAACTACCGAACAGGGTCAATGTTACTACCATACCTGTAAAACATTTTGAGAGATCACATTTAACATAATTTAAAGGTAGATTTTCAGGCTCACAAAAACATGCAGTGTCAAAATCCATATGTCTTAGAAGTCGAGCGAACTAATTTAAAACCAACATAAATTTAGGATTACTCATTCGTTTACACTTTAAAATGATCTTGTGATTAAATATTCAATAATTCAACTTTTTCAGATAAACTATTGACCGATACTGTACGAATTAATAATGACCTGTATTATGGTACAGTGTCCACTGCAAATACCTCATGAGACATGGGCTATGAAGAAGCTTTACAAAGCCTTCTGAACAATTACAGTATATGTGAAAGTGAAAGGGCGAAGTTTTATACCATGGTATAACGGTATAACCCATGACACACACACACAAAAAAAGACCTAGGAAGTCTACAAGTTGAGCGAGCAGGATTTTCTGGAGTCAGAATAATTGAGTGCCCCTTTTTGTGTTCATTTACTGAGGAAAGGTCCTTTATAGTGAAAAATGTAGAGAGCTATTGTCATTTTCGCCGGCCGATGGAAGTTGGTTTATGTGCAGCCAGTGATGAACTGACTTGTGAGACCACAAACACAGGGCAGTTCCTGTGCGGACACGCTGCTCTCCTCTGCTGCTTGATCTCGTCAGCCGAAGAAATGTTTTTTGTTTTTTGTTTCGGGCGTTGCAGCCTTTCTCATACACGCACAGTATATGTATATACAGTACGTTTACGCAAGACCGTGAGAAGTTATTGCGAGAGTGAATATTGTAACGCATACGGCCGACAGGCACTGTGTAAGAGCCGGCTTACCAGAGCGGTGACGTCACCGACGTTCCCTGTAATAGCACCGGGCTGGGTCCCTGTTGAGCGACGCGGGAGTCCTGGGTTCGAGCCCCCGACGGTGCGGGGCCGACCTGTGTAGGCAGCAGGCGAGGGCGCCCACCTGAACCCCGTAGCGTTACAAGATGTTAGGAACGTAAAACAGTTTTTCAAAGTTACTTCCCAGAAGTCAGTTCGTGCAAGACTTCGTATCATGGTCCTTAATAGGTGACTATATTGTCACTTTTTTTAATGAGGTTAAGCATGTCGCGTAACATTACAAGAAAAATCTTTTTTTAAATTCAAAATACATTATACACTGGATTTACTGCCATGTTTCTCTCTTTATTTTGGCATACAGTTGTGCGATGGACAATGTTCTTTTAGATATTTTGATATCATGTACATGGGCTGATGGTGATTAGTGAACATGTTATGTAACATCATGTCATCAAAAAGATTGCTGTGCGAACATCATGACAGGGGCTGTTCTATGTACACCTCCGCCTCTACCTATCGCAGTTTGAAACCGGTAAACATGAAGGGTAATTGGTGGCAGATTCACTAGTACTTGTGTACCTGTTGAAGTCTCTGTCAAGGGCTAGAGAAATTCCTGACAATGTCTGTTTACTCTCCCCAGGTCATGGCTGTACCAGTGCTCCCTTCACAGCTCCTGGCTGTAGTTCTTCACCTGGCTCTGCTCCGCTCTGCCCACTCCGGAGCTTATTATGGGCTAAAGCAGTTGCCCCAGCAGCACCAGCCCCTGCAGCAGTTACCCCACATCCCCCTGGGGAAAGAAGGCATTCCCATGCAACACCTGGGGAAGGAAATGCCCCACATGCAGTATGGGAAGGAAATTCCCATGATGCCCCAGTACAGGAAGGAAATCCCCCAGATACCCATGCATTTTGGGAAGGAGCTACCAAGAAAAGAAAGCAAAGGTAAGCAGGAAAACGCTGCACAGCAAACCTGTTTCACTACTGTATTACAGTAGGATGAACTACAGAGGAATTCAATGCAAATCTAGAGGTTATGCTTTGAATGCAACATGTGTCAAACATTTATGAAAAGGGAAAAACAAGTCCAGATGATTAAAGGAAAGGACTGAAGGACAAGAAAGGTTATAACTATTATCAGCAGCCATATCACCATGCAATTCACAACTGGCAACCCACTGAGTGTGGCCAGCAGAGGGCGCTCACCCTGTGGTCTATGTGAGTCCTAATGCCCCAGAATAGTGACAGGGACAATATAATGTAAAAGGCATCATCCTTTGGTTGAGAAGTAAAACCGAGGTCCTGACTCTCTGTGGTCATTAAAAATCCCAGGGTGTTTCTTGAAAAGTGTAGGGTTGTTATCCTGGTGTCCTGGCCTTTACCAATCATTGCCTCCTGATCCCTATTTATGAACTGGCTTCATCACTCTGCTCTCCTCCCCACTGATAGCTGGTGTGTGGTGAGAGTACTGGTGCACTATGGCTGCTCATCCAGGTGGGGCTGCACACTGTTCGTGGTGGAGGGGAGTCCCCATTACCTGTAAAGTGCTTTGAGTGGAGTGTCCAGAAAAGCGCTATA